CCGGGCCCCCAAAAGGGGGTGGGTAGGAGCCACTGCTGCCTCCCAGTGCCTGGTGGGACCCTGCCCCAGGGAGGGCAGATGACAAGCTCCTTCCACACCCGCCGGCGCCAGCTTTTGGCATTACCTTGCTCATGTTCTCGTTTTCCCTTAAATTGCACATTCTAGAAACTGCTAATGTTAAAAATGTCTTTTCCCCCCCTTTTTTAGAAAACACCCAAACCCCAACCCCATAATGTTTGCTCCGCCCGAAGACACGTCTCCTCTGGCAGGACAGAGGAGAAATGCTCAAACATGTGCTGCGCAGACCAGCAAAGTAGGAGATAGCTGCACCTCTGCCCTGCCTCTCACCCCCAGTACAAACACATTTGAAACTCACACCCAACCCCATATGAACGAAGCCCACCCCCTGGGCGTGCTCGTAGCCCAACTGGTCACAGTGACTGTGTTGTATCTATAACATCTGCTAAACCTACATCACTAGCCGACGCTTCCTGTACCTGTGAGGTACAGAAGCCTTCTGCAAGCCCTGACGCACACAGCCTGACAAGCACAGACACTCCTACAACTACGTGAGGCTATTTGTATCTTTCACTGACCACCCCCAGGCTCAACACCCAGCATGGAGCCCACCCCACCAAACATTTTGGGGTTAGGGCAGCTGTCTGCGTGACCCAGAGGCTGGTGTGCAGTGAGATGGGGTAGCAGAAGGTGAGCCTGGCCCTTCCCTGAGCCAGAATGGAGCTGCAGACAAGTGTCTGACCCGCTGTTGCACCCCGTCCCTGCAGTGGATAGGGAAGGTGTGGGGGAGAATGGGGAAGGGACAGGGAAAGCAGGGAGTCACTTAAAAACCTACAACATAACAGGAACAAACACCAAAAGAAAAAAAGTATCCTAAACAAAACGTGTCCCGTCCCCACGCCCTCCCCTGTAGGTGCTACCTTGAGACAGTCTCCTGGGCAGGGAGACTGCCCAGGGCTAATCACTACCAGCCCCTCTCTGCCCCAAGGCAGCTGCCTGGGGGGGTCACTCCCGCACGTGCCCAGTGTGTGCTCTCACAACCAGTCACAATGCTCCAGTTAGCAAACAGTCCCTGGTCTGTCTTATTACCCCCCCAAAAAAGGGATTGCCATCCACAGCTGGGGCCGGAGGAGGCAGCACAACTGTCTGTCAAGTGGCGAGTCCCACTGTGATTATTTTCATCTCTCTGTTACCTATGACGGTACTGCACTGCAGGTAGAAATTGGACCATTATTACTTGGGTAAAAAATGGCTTTCCAACTAGCATGCAAAGAAAAAATACCCCAAACCCTAACACTCATTCCCAGTCACTTAGATGTAGGAGACCTACATTTCAAATTGTCGTCAGCTACGAGCTCTAGTCAAGAAACCCACTTGTGACCTTTCCAAAGAAGAAGGGAGTTCTGCGTTTTTGGGTCCAACAGCCACTGCCAAACTGTTTCAGTTCAACCCACCAAACCTGCTCACACTCCTACGAACACCGCTGGAAGCGAAGGGCCGCCTCTGCCTGCCTAGGGAGTACAGAGGAGAAACCCAAAAGAGCCCCTGAATGCAGCACTTGAGCAGCGCTGAGGATCTCAGTCTCTCCACGTTGGGAAGCGGCGTTGCTCTTGGCACCGTCGTGCTTTCGGCAGCAGTATGGTAAGCAGCGCTCCGGCCAGCGGCTGGGGAACGACATCAGGGCAATTGCATATTCCGCAGGAGGCAGCAGAAGAGCTGCCCTCGGAGGGGCCGGCCGCGTTCCCCCCGGAGGCCTCTCTGCAAAGGCTTGTTTCAGCCCCGAGAGCCAGTTTGTGGCAATAACAAAAGTAAAATGATGAGGTACGGAAAGAAGGGCCCAGCACTGGGGAAGAGACCAAGAAAGAAGAAAACAGCTCGAGCACTGCCAGAAATAGCAAACTGAAACCTTTTTCTCCTCCCTCCTTTTTTTTTTTCTTTTTTTTTTTTTTTTTTTGCCAAGGGGAATTAAATGTCCTTATCTTGGTTGGTTGGTTGGTTTTGGCAAAGTGAAGCCCTCGGCCGCAGTCTCTTTCCTGGCTGTGCTAGTAAGTTACCGCCACAAGTGCTGTGCGGCAATGAAAGCCACCGAAAGGAAGAGGAGGAAGGCAGAAGGCAAAGATCTGCTGCTGGCCCCATTGATGCCGTGTCCAGACTGCTTAGGAATAGCGTGTGTTTCTGGCTGCCTGGTGCTGGGGCTCTTAGAAAGTCTTTTGCCACAGACGTCATCAGGACAGCTGTCACCACTCCCAGAGCCGCTCATGTCGTCACCTGCGCAGAGACAAACATGGGGTGAGCCCCGGCCGCCTTCCTTATGGTGGGAAATGTCCCTGCCTTCCCCTTGGTGCAACCCCAGGAGGGCTCTGGCCACCAGCCCTGCCCTGGCCTCCTCCTCTCTGCATCCCCCACTATGGGATGCAAGCCTATACCTGATCTCCATCTGACTTTAACCACCCACTGCGCTGCTGCAGCAGCTGGAAACCTCCAGAGCAGACGGGGGCAATGGCCCTGTCAGCATGGCTGGGCTGGGACTGGAGAGAGCATCTGAGGTTTCAGTAAGGCACCGAGAGCAGCACAGCCTCCAGCCACCCCACAGCATGTCGGCTCTACTTGAACAGACCCTCTGCAGCCCTGAGCCAAAGCCAGGTCACCGCAACCCCTCTCTGCCATCAGGGCCCAGCTGCAGGATCTGCTTGAAGGCCCATGCAGGCTGCCAGCGCCTGTCACCTGCTGCGGACCTCTCCAGTTCTGCTAAACTCACTTGCGTCTTGGAAATCCACATCATTCCCGATATTAGCGTTGCCCAGCCGGTTTGTCATGATCTTTAGCTGCATGATTTGCTGGCGAATGGTCATATCTGGTTTGGTGATGTCCACCTCCACCTCTGGGTTGTTAATCTGATTAGCTAAGCCGTCCCCCATCACTTCGGGCAGGTAACTGCAAAGGAAGGCAACAGGTTTAGATGTCTCTTCCCCAGCTCACCTCTCGCCATTACAGACACCAGTGATGATCCAGCCTCTCCGAACCCCAGAGAAGCTGCAGTCAGTGGTGCTGACTTGTTGAACAGCCTCCATATGCTGGTGTTTGCTGTGAGGCAGCCAGCTCTACAGATGGCCGAGCCATGCTGCCACGGTCAGATGCCATCAGAGCCTCGGGCTTGCCCTCAGGCCACATCAGCTTGCAGGAGGTGGCTGGTGGCCTTGCAGCGTCACTGTCCCAGAATGGGGAGGGCTTTCCTGCAAGGAAAGGCTGTGTGCAGAGCTGAGGGGTTGCTCTCAGGCTGGTACCTGTGGAGCCACAGTGATGTTCCCCTATGGAAAAGTTCTGTCTATAGGGGAGGCTGAGGAGCACCTTCATCCCTGCCTGGGTTAAACCTTGAGGGGACTGACACCCTGGGACAACTGAATGCCTCCAGCCCAGTACGACCAGACAGGTCCCCAGGGAAGCTTCAGTTAACTGGGAGCTGTCAACCAGCAAACCGAGCTGCGCTGCTCCCTTCAGCAGTGCCCTGGCCATCTGCTCCTGTGGATCTGCGGCACTGTTGGTGACAACGTGAAATATGGAAGAACCAAAGGCGCTGGCTCCGGACTGGCAGAGACCAGCCCAGCAGGTCCATGGAGAGGAGCGGAGAAAGGTGCATGTCCAGCAGCTGCCCATCTCCCCTCACAGCCATCCTTTAACCATCAGCCATGGATGGGAGGTGTTTCTGAAGCTGTTTGATGTCACCTGGGTGCCTCCTCTCATGAGGGAACAGCATTTCAGAGCAGGTATGGATAGAAAGACACATATGCAATTCTCAGCAACAGCTGTGGAGTTTGTGAGGTAAATCCAGCCCTTCTGCCTTCTGAGTGTACGTGGAATTGCAAAACTGCTTCACTAGTACAAACTACACAGTTATTTCATGGTGAATGCATTTCAGTGCTTAACCCTCCAACACACAGCAAAATGAGAACAGGCTTGACATTCCCAGCTACCAGTTTTTCAGGAAATGCAGCATTTCTGTGGACAGGGACAGACCTTTTGGCTCAGCCTGTACAAGTGGGGCTGGCTGAGATGATGCATAAGTGCCTTTTATGAAATCCTCCCTCTCTTACCCCAGGATACTGCTATCCCAGCACCTTGAACCCTCTCCGTACCTGCCCTTAGTCATCCCGTTCCAACACTTGTCATCTGCTGCTGAGCTGGCCATTACTTTTTTGCTGCAAAGGCTGCCGGGCAGGGTGATCCAGTAAGTTTTGAGAGCTGTCAGATTCCCTTTGGCATCTAAAACCTGTAAACAAAGAAGATGCTCAGGCACACAAGAGTGCTGGGGTGCCTCAGGGCTGTGGAAAGGACAAGGATTCTGCCATTTTTTTTTTTGTTTTACCATCACAGTGTCTGTTTTTATGTAGACAGGGACGTGTCACCTACCTTTCCCTAAAGACCAACTGTTAATCCTAGCACCCAAGGCTGAAGGCTACATGCTAAGGACTGTTCTGGTACCATAACCAGGAGATCATCTTCTGGGTCATGAGGGCAATGCTGAGAAGCAGCCTTGGTGGGAGCCAGCAGGGCTCTGCCAGGATGGGACAAGCAGATGTCTGTGAGTGAGTAGCCTCTGAAATGTGGGATCATGGCAGATCCCGCAGCTCATTGTCCACAGAATCAAAAATGTCCATGAAGGAGGACCTCTGGCCCCAGGATCCAGGCTGGACTGCCTGAGGCTCAATGACACCGATAGCAAGGAGCCTTTTCAGATAAGTTTGGCACCAAATCCCTGAGAAACTGGCTATCAGCAACCTAGACCCCGACCCTGTGCTGAGGCAAGATCAGATCTGCTTAGGTCATGCCAGCAGTCGCCAGCACAGGAGATTCAGCAGTCTGCAGGGTGGAATGCCCTGACCCACAGGACCCAGTGCTGTGCCGGCTGGGCTCCCAGCGGAGGCAGCACACCAGGACGCCAGCCCTGGCACACCGGTGGGTAGGGAGCTTCAGAGGCAAACTCACCAACATCTCCAGTGCTTGCGCAGAGGATTTTGCTTCCAATGCGACCTTCCCCCGCCTTTTCTTGTCCTCGGTGCTGGAGCCTTTTGTGCTGATTTTGGGATTTCCACAGCCTTGGAAAACCTGAAAAACAAACCAAACTCTTTATCCCATGTTTTGATACTATGTCTTTTTTTTAGTTTTGATTAGTTTTGATACTAAACTCTTTATCCCATGTTTTGATACTATGTCTTTAAATAATTAGCACTCCACAGTTATGGTGGTTTTTTTTTTTCTTAAGTACGTTTTTCTTTCCTACCTGCAAGATCTCTGAAATTCTGGCTTAGTTTCTGGTCACGTTACTCTTGTGTTTTCAGCACACTGTAACTGGTTTTAGTTACCACTATCAAGCAAAATGTTCCGCACTAACACAAATATAGCACATGTTTTTGGACGAGTCACCAATTTTGATATTAAATTATTTGTAGCAATGTTATCTGTTCCTATTATGACTGAAAAATAAAATTCCGGGAAGAGTAAGTTGGGAGTTGCTCACACTCATCACACCAGTGGTGTGGGCTTCAAGATCGCAGAGCATGTGAGCTTCATTGACTTGGACAACAGACCGAGGTGGGACCATCCCAATTACTCTTGCAATGGGCACCCACACTCAGCAAATGAATGCCCCCTCTGATCAGGGGAGTGTGAGTACAGTAGACGTGTCACAATCTGTCAGGCTGGATGTTTCAGGGGCAAATGAGGAAGCTGAACTGATTTACCTCCTAACTTTGGGTACTTCCCATCATCCTGACTACCTGCCCAGGTGTGCTCTGTGGCCAAAGGAGAGTAGAAGCACTTTGAAGGTACAAACTTTGCCTCTAGGAGGAGGTGAAGGGTGCCCAGGAAGCACCTGTTTCTCTCAGTCTCTGCATGACTGGTCCAGGCAAGGACACCTCTGCTGCAGATAGCCAGTGCTCAGGCAACTGAGCCTCACTGTGGCTGGTGGAAGGAGTGCTTGGACAGACAGATTTAATGCATCCCAAAGGTCAGGAGGGCCTTTGCACTGTCAGTTTGATTGGAAACACCGGGCTTTACAAAGCAAGCCATCTGATTTGAAAAGATGGCTCCAAGCTTGTTCTGGTTACCAAGGTGCTGTCAGAAGCTACCGACAAATTTGACTTTGGATGATGTCCCCTTAAGGCAGAGAAATCAAGACCTCAGACAGGAGCACTGCTGGTGCAGCTTGTGCCAGATGCTGAATACTTTTACCAGTGGATTCTGACAGCCGTCAGCAAAGTCCTAATCTAGATGAGAGTCCCTTTGGTGACAGTGGGTCTCATCGGGGTGTCAGAGGGACATTCGGCCCAGAAAGCCCCCTCCTGGGGTGCACTGTCCTGCTGACCAGATAAATCTAATGACTATGGCACTTCAGCACCAAACCAATTTGTTCATCTGTGCTCTTTGCTGTGTACCCTGGCTCTAGGCTGGTAATGTCTGAAGCAGCCTGAGCCTGCTGCCCTTGGCCCTAAGAGAGAAGACTCCCAGGACTGGCCTGGGCCACTCCCAGGCTCATCTGACAATAATGTCATTTACCTGATCACTTTGCCGTGCTCAAAACCAGAGCTTAGAGCTGCAGCAATTTGTAGCTCCTGACCTCTGCTACTGGTGCGACCAGCAAAGACTGCCACATTCACCTGGTCACCAGATCATACCGAGAAGCTTACCAAACATGTTTGGTTGCTCCAGTCGAACACCAATTAGACTACTCTTGATCATTTTACCAGATTTGCTATATGCCCCTCAGAAACACCTTTCTTTGCAGATGATGCCATTTTTTCCCACATCATGGGCTTGCTTTTATGTGGACAACCCCAGTCCCACCTAACAAGGGAAGAAAGAATATAGCCTTTCATGTCAGAAAAGAAGCCTAAACGAGTTCTTGGATGCATGCTTCTGTTAGCGCTTTGACGTGTGTCAGTGAATTCCTGCTTGGCTGACAATACTTCTGGCCCCTCCCTTCTCCAAGACCCAGTTAGGACCTGCCCCAGTCCTTTCATCTGCATCTCCGCCCTAACTGTGGGATAGCTGTAGGACTTGGGGAATGTCTGCGTAAAAAGCAGAAGCTCTGGAGGGCTGTTTTTGTTCCCAAAGCTTCTCTTACCTGCAGCTATAGAGGTGATTGTGGTTAAGCGCATAAATATACTAAAAATAGAAGACCAATAGAAGAGAGCTTCATGGTATACTTCTTGGAAGACACGTGAGCATCAGGAGAGCCTGTTTTATACTCTCCAGATGGACTGCCAGATTGGAACTTGGTCCCACAGATACAACCTGATAGCCTAGTGTTTCCACTGCAGAACATCACCCCAAGGCAGGTTAAAGCAGCTGCCTTCTGTCACTAGGGACTGTGCACTTTCTGTGAATGCCTCAGCTCAGCCAAAATACTTCAGGACTCTTCAGACACAGAGGCACCTGACAGCAAATGGCATCACGCCTCCCACAGTCACTGCATATGCAGTCCCACTTGTGTGTCTGTACCTAAAGGAAGCTGGCTGGATGTGGCAGGGAGGAATATTTGGAAACACTTGAGAAGGTTTTTGCCTGTGGAAGATGGGTGGTTTCCTATCATTAAAAGAGCAGGCATTTGATCTCTTTCATCCTTCATCTCCTTTAGTTCAGCTGAATAGTAAGCACAAAAAATATTTGGTCCTGGCAATTACCTACGGTGTATTCTCAGCCAGGCACATGCTCTTACCTTGGCCGTGATAGAATCTTTGTTTTCTTGCAAGTTAGAAATAGCTTCAGCAATCCTCATGTGAATAGTCCCTATTACAGTGTCTACGTTGTACGGTCCATCGATCCGATCGGCCACTATGACCAGGGAATCTAGTAAAACAAGATGGAGACATCTCTCATCAGACTCTGTACAAAACAAGTTAAAGATCATGATCATGCTGGGTGGGATAAGTTGTTGGCCCCTTGGCAGGCTTGTTGGGAGACATCTCTCCATTTCCACCACTTCCCAAGTGTATGCTCATTTGCCTCTGGCATGGGACACCTGTCCCTTCCCAGCACATAGGTAAAGCCACACTCAGTGGCAGAGGAACAGAGGACACCTCCTGCAAAAGGAAACACAAAGTGACCAACATTTTCTGGGGTGCTACAGAGAAGAAAAATGGAAAATCAGTGCTGAAATAGTAAGTAATGCATAGCAACGCTTGGACCTAACCCTCCTAACTCACTGTGTATCTTCATCAAAGCACTGCAGCCAGCCGAAAGTGGGAGGATTGGGGTCAGCAAAGTGCCAAAGGTACGGGACATGGTCAATAGCTTCTGTCGCACTGAAGGAGTGAGAAAAGGAGTAATTCTTCTCACCAGCACCTCTGGAAGGACAACACATGACCAGTCTGGCTCTAAAGGCAGAGGAGCAGATCAAAATACCCACAACTAAACTGGCAAACAGGACAGGGAGTGACTGAGAGGTGTCGTTCTCTCAGCTCCTCTTATCTTGGAAAACTCTGCTGTCCCAACGCTCCTGCCTGGCCTGGAAGCTCCTGCTTCGATGGCTGCTTTTTTGCTTGGCTTACAAAAAAATTACCATCCTCTGCATACCCCTGGAGATGTTTCTCAGCACTCCAGTTGGGTCTGAAGCAAGGGCAGCCTATATGCTTGCAGGGCTTGAGGCACTGGGGAATGACACTGCAGAGGAAGGCTGACAGCCTCGGTGTCCACCGAGATTTGAACAGGATCTCAAGGTGGGGCCAAAACTGTATTTGGACATCTAAAATGGGATCTCAACCAGGTCTGACTTTGCCAGTCAAAAATTGTAATTTTGAAAGTCGCCGCTGTGCTGCTGCTGCCTCAGTTTCCTACCACTGGCGCTTTAGTAGGCGGGAGGCCAGGCCATGCATAAGCTTCATCAGCATTTAGGGACTTGGCATTCAGCTACGTGTGACCTCAGATGGCTCCGGTGTGGTCTGCGTCCTCCAGGGCACACCAGAAACTTCCTGGCAGCACAAGAGATCTGTCAGAGCGCTGAGGTGGCCTCCGCTCATCTGGAACAGAAAGTGCTTCATGTTCCTGTGGCTTCATCACATGGAAGAAAACAAGTGCAATGGCTTTATGTTGGCTCTTCTCTACACAAAGAGGGTCAAATCTGAGGGTCTAGGTTGGAGATCTGTACCATTCGTAAATGGAGTTATTCATTAGGAGTGATTAATTCTTCTGTCCTAAGTCCCAATACCTCACCCATCAGCCTGGCAGGAGACTGTCACAGCAGATGGTGTGATGTTACAGAAAAGCTTATTCAGCATGAGTTTGTATTGCCGACATTATTCATGAGCAACAAAACCACCAGGTGAATTAAACCCAGCAGTTCAACAGAATATCAGTAAAACATGTCCTTCAACCTACACCACCCCACAGTGTGTACGTGTCACCTGTGATATCACTTTAAAGGACTGATGCTTATCTTTGAGCCGCGCAGCACATTTCCTTCAAGCAGGAGTCCAGCCAGCTGGGTCACAACCAGTGACCACCACAGTTTCAAACCTGCTAGGAAAGTGTTCAGTCCCTTGCCTGGGCAAGCTAGCAAGACTCGGCAGAAAGACGCCAAATTACTTCCACAAGGTCTAGGTGAGGTTTGTGCAGAAATGCTAGGTCCACAGTGGAAGTAGTGTGCTAATAACAAAGGCCTGACCCTGAGCCTACTACTGTCAATTTAACAGCATGCTCGATCCTAGTAAGTATGTTCTCTCTGCTGTCACATGATTGATGTTCAGACCCTGACAGCTCTCTGAGAATGACCAAGCTGGGCAAGGACTAGATGAGGGACAGCACAAACCCTCAGAAGATACCAGATCATGCCTACAGGGCTCACAGTCCAAAGCAAAAAAAAAAAAAAAAAAAGGTTTTGCTGGTTAGTTTGAGCAAGAATGGAAACAAGGGCCACAGTTTCCAAATTAATGTGCTCTCTTTTCCTGCAGCACAGTCCTATGGCAGTGCTGATTTCTAAAGCGAAACATGCCATACAAGGAGGTAATGGCTTTTTGTATTCTGGGAAGTAACATCTCCTGCAACATTAAAGAGCTTGCAGTTTTAACTTTGCTGCTGCTACTCAGGGATTGTGGTGTCATCTTTGAGACTGTATTTTTGAGACAATTTTAGCTTGCAAAAGCACTAATGTGGAGATACAGACATTTAAATCAAAGATTAGTGATAAATTATGTTTGAACTGCTTACTATAAAAATCTCCCTTAATTTGACCTGCCCTAATCTGTCAAATTGAAAGAGCAAGTCTGTGTTTAGTGTAACAAAATCCTCTCCAGCTACACAAAAGCGCCTGGAGAAGGGTGAAGAATGGACAATGACAGTGAACTGCTACCTTTGACTCTGCGTCTTGCTCCAGTCCTTGATCAAATTGTGACCTCTGACACTAAAATGTCTAACTCCAATTTGAAAAAAGCTCCAATTTGCTCCTAGCCATCACCCCTTGACAAGAGCAGTGTCTCTTGGGGAAGAGAAAGCCAGAACAAGTGCAAAATGCACTTGGAATTGCCTCCCTGTCAATTGAGGAGAGCTGTACATTGACCTTTCAGGACACAGGCAGTCATCCTGCCAGGAGAGCAGTGACAGGTAACACTTGGCTTGCTCTGGTCAGAAAGGCCAAAGTGCCATCAAAATCCTGGTGCAAACCCTTGGGGAAGGGACTATTTGTTCCTCTCTTTTACAGCAGCCTCCCAAGCCGCTCTCATGGGGAGCACTTCCAATTAGCTGCAGTAAGTTGCTACTTGGTTCGTTAGCCCCCAGTGCAAGGCGGGCAGCTGGCCAACACACCTCACTGAGCAAGGGCACAGGCCTCTGTGTGCAGCAGTTCAATATTTATTTTGCAGTGTCCCTTGAGAGACAGATGACACTACTTGAGCTCCAGCGGGATTTTTATTGTTAACAGCACCATGTATCAACTCTGAGCCAGCCTGTCGGGCTGCAGCTGGCCAGTGAGCTGGCAGTCTTGCTGGCCAGGTAGTGGAAGCCAAGACAAGGGAAAAGGCCAAGCCCAAAGCTCATCTGCCCCTGGTACCTGCCTTCTATGAGCCCAGAGAAGCATCAAGGCTCCCTCAGGTCTCAGATCACTCCAGATCTAAATGGGAGAGAAAGAGGAACTTGCTGGGTGATGCTCTGCAGGCACAAGGAGGAGTGAGAGCTTCACCATTGCAAACAACCTCCTCTGATGGACTGCAGCTGGGGAGAGGACATGCACTGTAACACAGACACACCATTTTCTAAACACAGACCCTCACCAGCCTTAAACCATGCCCATCAGCTCCACAAGCCACACTCAGCAGCAGTTCACATTTAAACCAGGAGCCACAGGCTTGTCTTAAAAGAGATGCCCCGGTCTGATCAAGCAATGCAGAATTTCCTACAGAAACACCTGGTTGAAGTTCTCCAGCCTGTGTTGCACAGGAGATCAGACCACACCATCACAGTGATTCTGGCTTTAATCTCAATAAAACGAACATCTCTATACACATACAACCCACTTTAAGAGGCCCATCATCTTAGCCGAGTGACAAAACAAAAATGAAAAGAGCTCTTTTCTTATTTAAAATACAAGTCTAATTTTCCTGTTCCTGGCGATGCCTGTGACTTCTCCCTCCCCATGTATTTAAGACACCTCTTGCCATTTAGAAGTATGCAATTCTGATCCCTTTGCTCTCCACCCATGGAAACAATTTATGGCTAGCTTCTAGACTGCCTCACAAGGAGGGCAGCAAGTGCTTCTGTGCTCTTACAAGTGCTCTGGTATGGATGAGGAGGCATCTCTGACAGTGTACAGGTGGCAGGATCTGTCCCTAAGCTTCAACACTTGGGACAGAAGGAAGAATTACTTGAATGCAAAGTGTGGGCAATCCCAAATGAGCACAGGCAGGGTGAAAACTCTTTAAGCCCTTGTTAGCCAGCCCAGCAGTGTCCTTGCTAATGGTATTACAGCCCAGCAAAATATCCTGCAATAGCTTCTAGGCGTTAGATCACAGGCAGAGAAGCTGTGATGTAAAAGAGCCTCCAACAGTCCTTTCTGTACTTTCCAAACACTACCTCAGAGAGTTCAAAAGGTGCCGTGAGAGGCAGCTGTGCTGCAGCAGAGTAAGGTCATCTTACCCATCAGGTACTTCCACTCGGTGTTCAGATCCGCTTGGTTGGCCAGGCAGCCCTTCACGACGTTCAGGCAGTAGTTGTTGCACGGCTTCACACTGGACATGCCCCGGCAGTGCGGGCAGTACATCAGCTTCATGATAGCACGAGTGCACTCATGGCTGAGAGATACCTGGGGGGAGACAGATCAGAGTCAGACATGCAGGCTGGTCAGGGGGCATGTGGGTGAACTCCCCCCTTCCCTGGGGTGAAGGAGCTTGGTGTGATCTGAAAGGCTCCCCAGGTGTGTGGCCTTGGGAAAGGTGCTTCCCATCTCACTGCCTCTCCTTCTGCCCACCGTTCCTCAGGCGTCACCCTGTCAGAGGAATGGGACCTCCAAGGCAGCTCCTATTTCCTCAGGCTGTGTTTGAACCCAGGGTTCTAGAAAAAACTATGCCAGCACCATTTCCCTCACAGCCACATCTGGTGGCCACAAGGATAGCCCAGACTGTCCACTGGCTGTAATCATGACCCAGGCACATGGTGCACGTGTGCCCCTGGAGCCTCTGCCATCAGTGCCACTGCTGTGCCCTTTCTGCAGGAAGGGTTTGTTAACTACCTGGCAGATGCAGGTGTCCCACCACAAAGTGCATCTCTGGCTTCATAGGGGGATGCACAGCAGGGGCCAGGACATGGAAAGTTCTCAGCTGTCATCTTTGGAAAGGAGGATGGTGTTGGGGGAAGACTTGAACAATTCCACAAATATGGGCAATTGAGAGCACTCGATGCTGGGAAGTGATTTCTCTCTGAAAACACTTCAGGAGGTGCAGGCAGCCGGTGAAGCGGGCCAGTACACACCATGCCAGCAGCTCACAGGCACTGCACATGCAGTTGATGCTTTGCAGAGGTGACCCTGGAGGCAGCTTTGCCACCTTTAATTAAACCACCCTGATCCCATAAGCACAGAGCCAGCACACGTGCAGCGCCCAGAGAGCAGGGCAGCAGCCCCTGCAGAATGTCTAAGTCCCCTCAGCCCATCGTCCATAGGCCATGGGCAAGGGGCTGTCACTGTAAGCTGAGGGATGCATAACAACCTGGCAGACCCTGCAGAGACGCTGGCAGAGCTCAGTACTCCCCTGTCTTACTGCTGAAGTATTTTCTCCTTTATGGTCTTTTTCTATCTTTAGTCAGATCCATTTGCAATTCCCTCGTCATTGTTTTAAAACCATTTACAAAAATAAACATAAATGTCTGCATGCAAGCCTCCCTTGGTACCAGGTACTTGGCACTCACAAGGAGCCCAAAGGGGGAAAAGTGATGGAAGGGGCAAACCTCAACATTGAAAAATCCCTGAGCCTTGAGCTGCAGTTGCAATGCTCAGAACTGCCCTGACCTCCTTATTACTTGTGAAAAATACTTTGAATATGGCCTTTTAAGTTTCTTCTGGGGGACTCCAGAAAGGTTCAGTTCTGAAGTACCCTTAGGAGAGTGACCATGCTGAGCCCACTATCAGAGACTGAGAGAGAAAATCCCTAAGCTTCCCCTCCTGAAACTGCCTGTATGGTAGCACCTCACTTCAAGTCAGCCTTAGAAAACAGATGTTGGATGGTGCTGGGGTTTCACCAGGCAGGCATGCATAAAATAACCTCGTGAGAACCTTCTTCAGGACCAGGACAAAAATGTCTAGGTCTCAGAGGGAGAACCCAAATGGAGACCGCTTCCCTGACTCAGCAGCCAGAATAAGCCTCGAGATGCTTGTGGATAAACGCTGTGCTCCACCACAGCTGGAGAGGCTGAGCCTTGCAGGAAACACCACACATGCCAAGGCTTCGCGGTGCTTCCTCAGCAAGCTTTCTGCCTCCTCTCTGGGATAACTCCTGCAGACAGAAACTAGCACCCAGCTGCCGTGCGGCTCTGCCGCCAGGAGATGGAGGCTTTGTCCCACCACACTGCACGGGTGCCACATGCTTCATCCCTGGGACAAGCCGGTGAAGGCACCGCTGTCTCCCGCCTCAGCAATTGAGAGGGGATGCAACAAAGCAGAGGGACAGGCAAAGAAAAGAATAGTTTACCTCTCATCTCAGGGTTTAAATAACCATGACTGAACAGTGACTGAAAAGACAACAGGAAAGAGCACGCTGAACACTAACACAGGCTGTAGCTGAAGACCTTCCGAAACCAGAGCATTTACACAGAAACCAGGAGATGCAGCTAGGAAAGGAGCTACGACATCTCCTTCCCCAGACAGAGCATTCACAAACACGAATTATACAGTGAAGCTCCAACCACACCTTGTAACCTGTACAGGCAGTCAGGTCCTGAACACTACTTTGTCTCTGCATTTTACCGGCATGCCCCATCACCGCTCGTCCCAGCTTATCCAGCTTGCGGCCATGGAGCATGGTAACCTCGCACAGCACAAATCTGGCTGCAACATCCCAGGAACTGCAGCACAAACGAGTCACATAGCTGGGCCCTGAATTGTGGGACTTTCCACAGTACTGATGAGAACCAGGGAGCAGCTGGATGGTTTGCCTGTGCCCACATACATTCAAGGTTGCACTGCGCAGCCTCTTGGAGTGGAGGGAGCTAAACTGCTTTGTCTGGAAAGCGGGAGTGCAGCATCACCTGTGCAGGAAACACCCCTGGGGTGGTGTGGGCCAGCCATCCAGTGGCAGAGAGGACAGCCACCAGCAGCTAGAAAACAAAGCTATTTGGTACCCTGCCAGAGCCCACGGAGGGACACGGAGAGAGGCAAGTGACAGACCTTGGCTCAGAAAAGCATCTCCAACATGCTTACCTTTAAAGTATGGTGTAAACCCAGCAACTATATTGGAGCTACCCAGGTGACCACAGTGAGCCTGTATTTAAATGAAGCTTGCAACAGGCCCAGTGGGCATTTCACAAGTATTTCTGCTTGCAGAATTTATCCTGGTCCCTGCATTTATTTTTGTGCATGTCATTTTCTAGCAAAACAGAAAGTCTAACAAAACAGAAAGGACCTTCATACCCTCAGCACAGCACTCCCTCGCCCACTGGAGAGTAATCGTGCAGGGCCACCCGTGTCCTGCCACCATGCAGAGCTGTAGAAAGGGAGTGGCAGAGGGGGCCTGCTCCTTGGTGCCCACCTACTCCATCTGGCCTCCAGCATGAATGGTGAATGTGGGCAGCTCCCAAGGCTCCCCGTGATGCAGACAGCTGCCTGCTGTCCTGCAACCCACCTCCCTCCGACCTATCCACGGCTGTCAGCCAGCCAAAACTGCCTGTCCCCAGCTACACCGCCTGCTTCCACGCCGGTACCCACAGAGCAGCCGCCTCCTGCTCATGCAGCTCTTGTGGGCTGTTGCCACCTGCTTTGGGGCAGTGGGTGCAGGCTGAGCACCACATGACAAAGGTGCCTGAGGCTCAGGCTCAGCTCCTGAGGCTCTGGGGGGAAAAAAGCTGCTTTTGCACCTCAGCAAGGATAATTTCTGGCTGTCAGGGAGGAGCTGTACGTATGCTGCCAGCCTGTCACTCTCACAAGGTGGCTTTGTCTCCCAGAGTACAGTGGAATGCCACACTGCCCCAGGTGCAGGGATCCTGCAGTATCCAGGCAAGGCAGCACCCCTTACCCCTGCTCCTCTGCCCCAGAGCTTCTCCTCTGAAGATGAGCAGGTGACACATCCACCACTGGCTGTTGCTCCACTGAATCTGACAGATGCCAAGTGTTCAACTTAATCTCTTGGCAGAAAGGATAAGTATTAATGTTTGCAGGTGGAAGAGGCCAGGCTCTACTCCCTTTCCCCAAAGAATGACTCAAACCTCTCCCGTTGGCAGCAGCACTCCTTTTTCACAGGCAGGCTGTGGAGGTGAATCGAGAACAGAGGGATGAGAGGGCAGGAAGAGGAATTTTGGAGAGTATTTTCTGCATGTTTTGCTTGGCCAGAGCTCAGTTCCTCGTTGTTCCACCCAGCCCATGGACTTCTGCTCCACACAGGGCAGAGGACAGTGAGGGCTTGGGGCTCCCAGAGCCCCTCCTGGCCCTGATCTTGCACCATATTAAGAAACTGAGCTCTTTAAACATTTCTTAGTCCTTGCAGATTAGTTTGCTGAAGTAAACTTCCAGGTTTTTTTCGGGTACGCTGTATTCACATAGGGGAATCCCAGCCCCAGTTAGGAGGGGCTGAGATGCCCTCCCCTGTACGGATACAGCAACACAACCAAGAGAGCGACACAGCTCTCCTGCCTGCTCACCTCTTGGGCACAGCCAGCTCCAGCAGTGGCACTGGGGAGAAGAGCTCCCCAGGCTGGAACCGTGGGACCACATGCCCTCCATGGCAGCACGTTCCAGATAAACACCCCTACAGTGAGAATGGAGCGGTTTCTCCAGGCTGGCAAAGTCTAGACTGACCTAGACCTGCACATTGAGACGTGGTCACTTCCTCGTGCTCCTACTTTTCACCCTTCAGTCTTTAAAAGAACCTGAAACGTTATGATCTACCCCTCTGCCCAACTTCTGGCTTCCCAGCACAGATTTGCAATACCTGATAGATCAATAAGCAACGTCCTCTATTCATCAAAGGTGGCCTGAAAGCAGCAGCATGCAAAGTCCTGCAGATGGAGTGAAGGCTAACATAATTTCCTCATCTTTAAATGATCTGGCACAGCATGAAGACAGTACATGACAATAATTGATTTCTCTAAGTACCATCAACCTGGCACAGCCTGTGGCTGCTTCTCCTTTAAGGAGACATGATTCTCCTTTAACTTTAGTGGCACCTATACTCTTTTCTTAGCTCAGTGACCTAGAAACTGCATTAAGATGTCAAAAGAACATGCACAATACCTTGGAAAAGCCATTTCCCAAGGATCTGAAAAAAAAATAATTACTGAGAGTTATGGCTTGAAGCCAAGGCACTCCTCATTCAATTGTCAGAGGTATAAATAAATACGCAAAACAAAGCTAAGCCTAGCTTAGCCATTGTTCCTACATTGGCAGGAAATTAAAATTAGTTAAATCAGTTAAAATCCATATACTCTTTTCTGATGCCAGTGACATCAGTCCCTTAAAGTGTAAGCCCAGTGATGATGTGATAAGGAAAAAATACTCACTTCTAACATATACCCAAAATAGGGGACAAATCGGTACTGAGCAATAAGTCATTTTAATTAAAACTACTTTACAGCTGGGGATACAGTAGTTGATTTGAGTAG